AAAGGCTATCCCAGCCAGCACTGCCACTAAGTGACAAGTTCTACAGACTGTACACAGAACAGCCTGTGAGCAGATAAGCAGACTTTAATAAACTGGTTGATGGGAGCAGCCTGGGATCAGAGATATCAGGCCATTAAGCTGCTAATTCGAAGAGCATGGCCACACCACAGGAATGGATGGGAGTCTCTTATGCACGGTGGCTGGGGTTGGGAACCAAGGAGCACAACTGGATGCAGCCCTTCTTTGTATTCAATAGGTAAATACAGAATTGGGGCACCCCACTGTGGGGTAGGTACCACTTGACCTGTGCAGCCATATATCATTGATAAATGATAGAAACACTCATCATCACAGACACACCACCCTAATGGGACACTGTACTATACACCATATTCAACAGCCCTCCAGCTTGAGACTCTTGGCAATGCAGGGCCAAGGCCCTAAGCCTCACTTGCCAGGCTTTGATGTTGCTACTGGATAAATTTCTGAAATGATAAACCACATGACCTTGCTTTGCTAACCACAGCTGAAGGAGGTACTTGGGCACTCTTGCATGTAGAATGTGAAATGGATATCCCTGATCACCAGGGGCAGGAGCAAGAAGCCTTGCAAGAAATGAGTGTTAAGTTCTCTGCCCAGGGGCACAGCAGGACCTACTCATCAAGTACTGGAATCCTTGGGATCCACCTGGCTCTGGATGGCCATAAGCTGCACAATGGTTGCATTAGTGGTATTAAGCAGTTACCTTTATTGCTACCGTTGTCTTTGTGTGCATGAGTCCACCTGATGGGTCGCTTACAATATGCACAGTTTCCCAACCTTTTAGGATGTCACTGTACCAGTTCAAGTTATTCCCCTCAGGCTCCCTTTAATGTCAACTCCCTTACTTGCTGATCCTAAGGGGAATCACTTGAACTGGTACAGTGGCACATGGCAAGCTGAAGCACAGGATCCATGCTGGGCAACATGGAAAAATCCAAGTCCCCATGTGTGGTGCCATGTGGGAGCTGAGCGCCATGAGTGGCAATTTGGAGACCTCTGATTATGGAGCACTCCAGAGGTGATGTAAGGTGTGAGTCCCTGTGTGATGCATGAGTGACCTGGATACATGGGGAAACAAATGCAGATGCTGCTGTCTGGTTGAATCTAAGTAGACACAGTACCTTTAAAGTGACTCAGGGCATGGACAAAATGGAATCAGGCCAAAGGCTGGGTGAACTGTAAGACTGATGTCGCGAAGGAGACCCCAAGGACTCAGCTCTCATGTAAGAACAAAGGGGTTTTTATTATTCCGTGTGCACAGAGTCCTCCGAACAAGCGGGAACAGAGAACCCAGAGTTTAGGCAAGGCTGGTGTTTTTAAGGGTGAAAATCGCAAAGCAAGCGTTTGATTCCGAAGCTGATCATTGCAGTTAGAGAGGGGTAGTTGGCGATTTGTGATTGGTCAGATCACAAAGGCTGACCAGCGGGTTAGAGTTGATTAACTGCCTTGTTTTGCACAGCTTATTTTTAGGACACCTAGTTCTGTGTGGATCAGTCTTGGCATACTTTTCAACCCTGATTAGCATAATCAGCAAGTTTTATCTCTGAGTTTCCTGACACGGTGCAGCCAGAGCACACCACAATTGCAGATGTTTCCTTTCTGGCCTCCCGCAGAGCTGAGTTAGAACTGAGTCATGGGGCGCAGTTCAGTTTTCAGCTGAGAGACAGTAGTTGTTCTTAATTTTGTGGTCTTTCAGAACCAGATCATGAAGCAGGGCCTTCAGATCTGGACCACACATTGAAAAGCAGTTAAGTACGGGAGCCCCAGCCCAACTGTATCTGAGGACAAATTCCTACACACTGGGGCCATGCATCTCTATCCTGTCCCAAGACCAGCTGACTGTGTTATAAGACCTGGCAGTATAGTCAGCATGTTAGTGGCATGTCTCTGGGATGTATAGCACCTGGACAGGAGATGGGCTCAAGGCCTGCCTGTGTAAAATGCACACATGGAATTTGCTTCTGTCCCACTGGCTCTCCCTCAGGTGTGCTAGTCTAGAACAATGGAATGAGTTCTTTTTGTCTGGCCAGCTAGTTGCTAGACTGCCACTGTGTTCTCACCTTCCTGCCCTCTGGCTACACAGTCACAGCACCTAGGACCTGGGTCCAGGTGTTCAGTGAGGCTTCAGATGATTGTGGTGGGTAAGGCAAGTATCTGTGCAACCAACAATGGGCTGGCTGTTTTGAGTGGCTGCAGAGTGGGAGAGAACCCCATGTATTTCATTCACCACCACATTGATTCTGGGAGGGATTCTGGAGCAGGGATCCTTCCTGTCAGCTGTCGCTTTTTACCTCTTCTTTCCTTCCCATGAGCATTTACTGGGAGGCTGTGTAGATGTGACAGTGCCGGATAATGTATATTAAAGGCCTTGTTAAGCATCTCCACCCAGACTGCCTGACAGTAGCTCAGACATGGAGACTCAATGGGAGAGAACTAGGGAGGGAGGTGGAGGAGGACCAAGGGCTTTCTCCTGGAGACAGCAGTTACAGAGAGGCAGGGGGCTCATTTGACTGTCTCTGTCAGAGCCACATTTGAGGCTGTATCCTGAGGCCAGAGAGGAGACAGAAGTTTTGATCACTTTGCTAGAAATCAGGGGTCTGGCAAAGCTACCAAGGCAGGGGTTGGGGGCCCGACTGAGGGCTCCTCCAGAAGATTTGCCTGTGTCTGTTTTTCAGTTTCTGTTCCATGACTTAATCATCAACAGCTATTGGCAGTGTGGGTTCACCTGTCTCCCCAAGAGTGAGCTGCTTCTGGGGATCTTGGGCAGTCAGGACAAAGTGAGATCTCTGTGTGTCTCTGTTTGGTTATGCAGAGAGAAAAGTATAAAAGTGCATGTTCCTGTGATAGGAAGATTGGCCCCTCAAATTCCATTAGTGAGGTCTTAGTTTGAGAATAGCTGGCGCTTTGTTCTGGGGCTTGCTTCTGCCTGAAGGACTCCTTGCCAGGCAGGTAGAGGGTCTGTTTCCTGTGAAATTAATTTTTCATTAGTGGCTCTTTTTTTCCCATATGTCAGAAATGGGTCTCTTTTCTGTGCATTTTGTATATAATTTATAATATATTCTTATTAGTGCCTATTTACAGTACATACTGATTACATTGATGTTGGACACATGGTCCATTTAATGTGCCAAGTGCAACATAGGCCCTGCCTGGTACATTATGGTTCAATACATCAACCAGCGACTGTTACCATATTTGCTTGCATTGAGCACCCAGTTTCAGCCCCCAGCATAAAGCCCTGATCAACCTGTATTGTCCTTTTTTATAGTGACACAAAAGTTGGGAGCTTGCAGGATTTGGCAAATGGAGGGTGTTTGTGTGCTGTGTGGAGGGAGCCTAGGGCAAGCTGGTTGAGGTTATGAACTCAGGCTGTGTGAGGACATTGATGAGATGGTTCCTACAGTGTTGGTGGGCACAGACTCAGCACAGGGAGCAGTCTAAAACCCCTACACCTTGTGCATACTATTTGGGAATGGAGGAGGGGCAGGGATCACTGTGATAGGTTTATTGTGTATCACCTTCCCAACTCACCTTGATGAATGGTGGCAAATCATGTGGAGTGTCTGACTCTAAGAGTCCAGTGTGGTAGGGAGCTCAGTGCAGAGCCTGTGTCAGACACAAAGAATGGGTAGCCCTGAAAGAAAAGTCACTCAATTGACACAAGTACAGAAAGTTATTGACATCTCATAGAATGACCCCTGGGTACAGGTTAGCGAGAGAGATATGAATCAACCGTGTTCTGATGGTGCCAGACCATACCAGTAGATTTAGTGGTTTTTTTTAAATGCCTAGTGAACCTGGTTGAGGTGCGGAGTCTCTGTAATTCCTATACTCTACCAGACTAGGGCAAGAGGGTCACACACTGGAGCTAGAACTCAGCAATTTAGGTGGACAGTGAGACCACGTGTCAAATTTAAAAATCAAAAAGTAAAAAGGGATGGAATGTAGCTCTGTGAGAAGGCCCTCAGTGCACCCTCCTGTAAAAATAGAAAATTTATACACCTGTAAAGAAGCTGATTCAAAACAATGCTACAACTTCCATGAGGGAATATTGAACCAAACTTCCCCCAGTGTTCAGAATGTTCTGAGATTTTGTATTAGTAACAGAAATGCCATCAAAATGTAGAGAATGTTCATCCATGTGTAAGAAGCAGAGACAGAGTGGTGCCATGCTGTTCAGTTGTCTGCTGAGATGTCACGGGGATGCACTGTCTTCATGGAAATACAGCAGCTGGTAAAGCTGCATTTGTCAGAGGTCACCATGGAGCTCTGTGCCCAGACACTGCGTATCTTCAGATCCCATGGACAGGAACAAGTCCTAACCCAGCTCCTATAACTGAGACCTAGAAACATCACGGCTAGGACACCAACTCAAACAATGACATTTGCAAAGTTGACTGTTTCTTATGGGATAGAAGATGACAGTACTGTGTACCCAGCTCCTACATGTAATCCCTGAGGAGCTGTTCCATACACACACTCCCTACCTAATGGCTTAAACACCTGGCCTGACCCTAAAATGAGACAAGAGGAAGAGCACCTGGGAGAAAGGCCACTGTTCCTGAATGGAACAACAGTCACTATGTTGTTTCTTTTATTATTCACTCACATTTGGTTATATATTTAACTGTAATTCTGGTCCAAGAAAATATTGGTTAATTAATTGAATATGTGAAAGACTAATCAAGAACATTTATCTAACATTATGATTTCTAACAAAAAAACAATATTAAGCAGTCACATCCAGTATCCTCTGCTTGAAGAGAAACTTGAATGCATTGATGTGAAAAATGTAGCAGAGGTAAATTTTGAGGACATAAGATGAATGGTGGCTGGGATACAGCAGGAGGGGAAAGAAAACAAAAGTGCTATATTTACAATATTGACAAAAATGTGGTAGAAATGGATAGTGGTGAAATTTGCACAACAGTGAGAATGCACAGAATGAACAAAGGTGATTATTTTAAATAACACTGAAATCTCAAACTTTATTTATATTGGTTGTATCATATCTCTGGAAAATAAGGGTAGCAGTGAACACAACAATAGGTAAATCTGGAAGAGAGGGGAATGGCAGGTGTGGGTCAAGAGCTGCCTGCAGGTAGAGCTGAAGAGATGACTCCTGCTGGGAAGCCACCAGGAGATCCTGCTCTGCAGCTGGTGGACAAGGGAATCCTGGTGCCTCCTCTTGCTGTGGGGTCAGAGCAGGTGACGGAGCTGCATGTGGAGCTGGCATGAGCTCTGAAGGTTCATCTTTTGCATGGGCTGAGACTGCCCCTGTTATTTTCAGGAGAAAAGATCACCAACTGTCCATGAATTTCTCAGGGCAAAACTGTCCCACTGCTTGGCAGAGGCAGCTGTGTGCACCAACACAACCCCAGCAAAGCCTCCCAGACTGCATCCCCACACTGACTGCTGAGTGTCTCATGCTCCTGGGCCACCCAGCATCTGTGTGGTTTGCTGAGTTCCAAGACCCATCTCCTCCCCAGAAGCCCACCGCCACACCACTGGGCTCCTTACCTTTGGACTCAGGCTTGGTGGCCGCAGGAAGCTCCAACTCATTCCAGAGAAGCCCAGGACAGCTGTTCCAGAGAAGCTCACCCTGGTGATCCCCATGAGTGCAGAGTTGCAGTGCAGAGTCAAGCACAGAAGAGGTGGACCTGGGGCTGAGAGGTAGGGAGCAGAGTGAGAGGCCTGGCCTTTCCTCTCACACTTCATGTGCAGCTCACCCATAGTGAAGGGTGCACGGGCCTTGTGCCCAGTCTATACAGTGTCCAGCTACTTCCTCTTCCACGCAAAGTGGGGGCAGTGTTGGCCCAAGGAGCCATCAGAGGCTGAATGGGAAGGAGACCTTGGTTAATTGCATCACACATCTGCCTTCCTCAGGGAAGCCTGACACAGCCTCTCCCTGCCCCTTCCCAGTGCAGCTCAGCTTGGTGAAGGCAGAGACTGATATCTACTGTGTCTTTTCACTAAAGAACTCAGGAATCCTGTTCCAGGAACATCTGAGAACTGAGGGGTCAGTCCATATCTGTCCTTCCACTCTGCAGTCTCTAGCTCAGGCAGCTATGTGTTGCCCAGTTCTCTTTGCCTCTGTAGAACTCCTCGTCCATTGTCTGTACCCACATCTAGGAAAGCTGGGACACAAAACAGTTTCCTTGATGTGAGTCAAACCTGTACTGCTGCCAAGGTTGACTTTGTGGCCTCCAAAGAACACTGAAGCTCAACAGGGAAGTGGTTGCACCTGCTCTGATTACTGGATCATGATCAATATTCAGAACAGTATCTGCACACAGTGTGTCTTCATGTACCTTTGTGGGTTGATGAACCTACCTGCTCTTCCATGACATCTGACATCCATGGATGCTTTGCCATACCCAAGATTTCTTGTTCTGAACACACCCTGAACCCCGTAGAGTGACTCTCCAATCTCTTTTCCAATGTACAGAGCAGCTTCCCCCAAGTAGGGGTCAATGAGAGGTTGGAAAGTCGTCCTTGGGAATCAGTACTGCCTCTGATGCAGTCAGTCTTCATGGGGCCAAGGACACAGCTAACCCCTTACTGTGGAGCCCCCATTTCACCTTCACTGACTCTGCAGTCTCGATCCACTCATCAACCCAGAGTTCAGCACTGAAAACTGAAGCTGAGAGAGGCTGTGCACATGGCCAGGACCTGAATCTGCAGGTGACCACGTCCCACAGGATTGCTAAGGTAAGAACTAACCTTCCCAGCATCGGGGCCTGTGGGGTGGAGATTTTGGCCCTAGAGGAATCCAGGGAGGAGAGTCCAGTCATGGAACAGCTGTTCAGGGAACCTGGCTCCAGAGGCTCCATGAGGCTCTGAGGATCTGTCTTTACTGTGCTTGCTGTACAGACCTCTGCCAGGTTTTTTGCAGGCTGACTTCCAATCTGTGATGAGATATTGGGGAAACATGGAATTGGTGTCCTGCACATGGCTTCTCAGCAGGGTTTGGGGTTAAAGCATAACCCACATTCCAAATAGTCCACAGAGGCTTGTGGTACAGGGGTTACAGGGGGCCCAGAAGAAAAGGGATCTCATATTAACAGTTACATTTCACAAGGGACACTAAGGAATTTTGGTATGCTCTGATCACCTTGATAAAAGAGAGACTGAATAGAACTCTATGCAGGAACAAAACCTATGAGGCCTAAGACAGCCTCCCATTTTAGAGGTGAGAAAAGGAGGCTCATTCTGGATATCCATGTCCATTAATGAGGCCCCACAGAATGTTCCCCAGGTTTCTGATGAAAAGTCCCCAGGAAGGAATTAAATTCCTCTTCCATAGCCATGGAAGGTGAGTTGCTGTGTTCACTGCCCTCTTCTGGAATTCTTTTAACCCAGAAGCTTCTGCAATAGGAACTCAGGTGCATGGAAAAATTCTGCGAGACAAGTGCCAGAGAATGAATAGAATAGCATGGACCTGACATTTGAGGTGAGCACATCTCTGGTGAGGTCACGTTGTGTAAGAGTAGAAAGACGCCAGCTAATGGTCCATGGACTGAGCCCCAGAACTGACAAAGAAGTGCAGTGGCAGAAATAAATCATGAAAGAAATGGAGTCACTTTGTGCCTATGTCCCCATTCTCCTGCTCCCACCAATTTGTGAACAAGGTTCTTTGCCTGTGATAAGGTAGAGGCTGAGTAGAGAGGATATGGCAGTTGAGGACCTGCAGTCCAGACTCCCTGGAAGCAGGACCAGGGGTCTAGTGTTTGCTGAGCCTTGGAGGACGGTGCTGAAAGGGTAATCTGACCCCAAGATCCTCTCTGTCATTTGTGGGTCCCTACAGTCCTTTCTGCCCACACACCTTGCACCAGAGCCAGCACCTGTTGTGCGTCCTAGAGGCTGGAGCAGGACCATGGCACCCAGAGCCCCGCAAGCAGCTCCAGATGAATTTTATTGTCCTCTAAGACAGACAGCTGTGTCCCATATTTCTACCCAAGTGGACAGGAGATGACTGCAGACTGTGGATAAATGTGGGCACTGCCCTTTTCCTCCTGCCAGCCCTGTCCTGGATGGGAACGTGACAGTGGCACTGGCTCACAGCTTCCCAGCCCCTGATCCTGCCTAGAAGTATCTGCCCTTAGTGCCTGTCCTCAGAACCCTGCACACAGAAGCCCTAGGGCAGGTGTTATGTAGGGGGGCTCACATTGCTGGCCAGGCCTGAATGTACCTGTGCTGGTCTCAGTGTCTCTGATTGGCTGGTGACTGATCCTAGCGACAGCTGTCCTGGGCTCCCTCTTGTCTCTGGGAGCCTGAGGGATGGGGACAGTGAGCCATGTCCTTTGCTGCCCTTATCAGTTGGACATTTTCCAGCAATCATCCTGAAGCCTCTGGGACGAGTGAACCATTTTTTCAGTCTTTCTCACGTGGTCCCCGATGCAGGGGACATCAAGTCCTGCGAAAACAGCACAACATGTTCCCTGTTCACTCTCTAGAGCCAACTGTCTGTGAAGGTCTGTCTCCACCAGACCAAGGTGTCTGGTGAGCTGAGCCTTCAGCGTTCTGTTTGGACCTGTCACTAAGGAAGTGAGGTCATGCACTGAGGTCCACAGTTGGGCCTCCCTCTCTGATGCCCCCTTTCTTTTTATTATGGAACAAATCTGTGTCCTCCTTAGAAACAGCAAATTAAAGAACTAGAACACTGTGTGTGGTTTTAGACTTTGCTGTACTTTGAAGATTTTAATGCAACAAACCTGTAGATATTTCAGATGTGGCAGGCTGGGTGCCAAGCACACATGTCCATCCAAAGGGTCCATTGTCTCTGAAGATGAGGGGCTCAGTGTCTTCACTTACAGATCTGTCACATGGTGACCTTGTTTCTGGGGATTATGTTAGTTTCATTTCAATTCCAAAAGTGAGCATGGAGATGTTCCCGGAATATCCATAATAATGTTCCTTGAATGTTTTATGTTATAGCCCCTGTAGGTCTAGAGGAGCAGGATTCATAGCAAGTTTTACTCTCATGTGCCCATGAATGATTTCTTATTAATCCTTAGATATTTAACTCAGCCACACACTGGAGTGCTCCATAATTGACATTCTGTGAGGTGGAGAGCAGGTGGTGAGTGCAAGGGGAGGCTTTGCAGGGCCGTGGACATTGTCATCCCATGCTGATGAAGGACACATGCCCACCACTACTGAGGAACTTGTTTCTTAGCCACTGCTGTCACTTCCTGTCCTCCCATCCCAAACTGACCATGGGCTTTGTGTTCCTGCTGCGTAGTTTGCCTTTCCTAGAAGTGATGGCGCAGAGCCTGTTCAGTTGCAATGCTGTTTGGTTGGTCTCCTTCAAGCGGTGTCTCCTTGCTGGGCTCCCCCTTTGTTGCCACCACATGCTATTACGGGGCTGAACCAACCAAGTGTGAATTGTTCATGTAGCAGTCACTCATCTGCTGATGGTCATTTGTTCTATTTCTGGGTCAACCCTTGAAAGCAAGCTGCCACAGCCATTCTTATACATGAGCTTAAGTGTATACAGAGCTTTACTTTAAGGAAAAAGTTCTTAGATGTGATTATACTGGATCATATTGCTGGCTTATGGCTAACAGAAATTCTTAAAGTTTCTTTGGAAGCGTTGTTTAAAGCAGAGTTAGGTGGTTGTTTTTTCTTTTGTTTTGTTTATTATGTTACACTATGCTATGCTCTGTTATGTTGCATTATGTTATGTGTGAGTGAGGATTTTGAAACTCCTTCAGTGTGTTTTCAGTGTTGTTTGATTTGATTTTGTGGAACCAACCTGAGAAAATAAAAGAGTATCACATAACTCTTAATAATTTTGTTCTGGGGAAATTTAAAAAGGAAAACACATTCAGGGATATTGGTGCACACATGTAATTCCAATATTCAGAAGGCTGAGGCAGTAGGATTGTTGTGAGTTTGAGATCATCCTGGGCTACAAAGTAAGATCAAGGCCAGCCTGAATTGCATAGCAGCACCCTATCTAAAATAAAAAAGAAAAGAAAAAAGAAAGGAAGGAAAGAAGAAAGACAGAAAGAGAAAATAAATAAATTAAAAATGAAAAGTCAAAAATCTCTTGTCAATTGAGAAATCAAATCTTTGTGAGGTTTTCTTGCACATGTACTTTAGTCAACAGAACTAGCATAAAGTTTACCATCATGTAGACAGTGATGTGCTGCCAGGTTTGCATTGTTTAAAGTTTTTGAATGTTTTACTGAGATGACTCCAGATATGCTACTGAATACACCCTCTTAGGATTTGAGTAGCTCATTAGGAAGACAATTTTACCACTTTTTTGTCCTAAATTTATATTTAGAACAAGAGTTTGTTCAAGGGGTTACTATTTTTTTGAAATAATAGTAAAAATCATATAAAGATTTTCTTTTTGACTCTATGAAAAGGTAAAAATAATTATACACTAATAGTTGTTAATGTACCTTGTACCATGATTTCTGAGTAATCGATATTTTCACACATTTATAAACTCTTTTGTTTTTTTACAAATTTAATCAAATGGTCTCACTAATTTTCTAAGTTTCCCATGCTAGGCTTAAATCTTTCCTCATCCTTTCTCACCCTCTCAGAGTGCCAGGATTACAGGTACACATTATCCTGAGATGGCAATTGTTTGCAGTTTTGTGTGTTCACTGAATAAAATGTTCGGCTTTGCTTCTCGTACACTTTGGAGAATGAGTGGATCTAGTTAAGCAATCTACCACCTTTGTAGCCTGCAGTTTCTTTCACAATGAGTAGGACTGAAATTCCCATTAACACTGTTGGTAGATTCTCTGC